TCGACTACATCATGATAATAGTCGAGTCGATGTCGACTAGTCGCGGTGACGTCATAGTGACGTAAGCGCAAAAACCCTTCACAACTACTTGGAGGCTTTATCAGCTATTTTCACGGCAAATATTGACACCCTCTTCCCTTCTCCCGCTTTTACTAAGTCTATTATGCAGAATTAAAAGAGCAATAAACAGATCATTCTTCGTGAGCAGCGGAGAAAAGTTCGTTGCACAAAGTCGGGTCTGACTTTTTTTTTTCCAAACACCGGCTGATGCTGATTATCTCTGGATAGCTACGCGTATAGGAGTCAAATTATTACGCTGACCACAATGGTGCTTTTGGAACATTACAAACTAAACTTATGAACGGATCCCGTTTGGTTACAGTTGAATTCAACGGAGCCTCCTGCTGCTCCTCCGCCCGATGCGCAACAGGACGCTCTGCTGACTCAGCAGCGACTCTCTGAACCGACATGCAGACGCGGCAGAGAATCAAGTGCAGATGATTATGACCAAGCCAAAAATGATGATGACGTAATAAATCCTGAAGACAGCGCTTCCAATGTTTGCTCTGTGAAGTCTAGAACAGGCTCTCGGGTGTCCCGTGTTTCCTCCACTTCATCGGCTCGTATTAAAGCAGAAGCCGAGAGAGCAGCGCTGCTGGAGCGGGCTGCTGCGCTCAAGAAGAAACATCAGCTGGAAGCGCTGGAGGAAAAGCTAAATGGAAAACTTCGTGTGTTCGAAATAAATTCACAGTGTGGCTCAAAATGTTCTGATGGTATGAATTCCTATATTGAAAAGCGCAACTCCAATTCAGCGCTAAAACGTAATCCATGGGCCGATGCATTTGTTCCAGAGAAAATTATGGACGATGTTAAAATCTCCTCCATCATTTCTGAGCAACCAGTTGTCCGACTGAAACAAAAGCCAGCAATTCAAATCGTTCATAAGCCACAAAGTGTCTGTGCTCAATTAACTGTTCATCAAAATCCGAACATAAGCAGGCAGCAGCAATCAGGTCAAGAAATAGATCAACAAGCCAGTATTATTGACATCATGCAGCGGCAAAATGACATCACTGCCATGTTGGTTCAGCAAAACCAAGCTTCTGTCTTGCCACCAAGAAACATCCCTGTTTTTGATGGCGATCCTCTTCAGTATAAATCATTTATAAGAGAGTTTGAAAATGGTGTGGAGGCCAAAACGTCCAACATGAGTGATTGTTTGCACTTTCTAGAACAATACACCAGGGGACAGCCTAGAGATCTTGTGCATAGTTGCCAGCATTTACCATCAGACCTGGGCTACTTTAAAGCTAAAAGTCTTCTTTCTGAACATTTTGGAAACGAATATAAAATTGCACATGCCTATATGGATAAAATTAACAACTGGCCAGCTATTAAAAATGAGGACATTGAATCACTGCAAGCATTCTCTCTGTTTCTTAAGGGATGCTCAAACTTAACAGAACACATCATTCATATGAAGGAACTGGACTTGCCATCTAATATGAGGAGCATAATACTAAAGCTTCCCTATAAAATGAGGGAAAGCTGGAGAAATGTAGCCTGTGACCTGCAGGAAAGCAGGGGTCAGAGGGCATTATTCACTGATCTTGTTGTTTTTATTGAAAAGCAAGTTAAAGTTGTATCTGATCCACTGTTTGGTAACATCATGGACCATCAACAGCTCAACTCCAGAACCAGCAGCTTTACCAACAGAAAAGGGGAAGTAACTTTGCTACAAATGTTACAGTGAAGAATGAATGTCCATCTGGAGATGAGAACAAGTCCTCAAAAAGCCACAGCTGTCTGTATTGTCTCCTAAGTAATCATACTGTTGACAAAGTGCTTTAAGTTTAAAGACAAGCCACATAAGATAAAGTAAACTTTAAAAAGGCATGTGTTTTGGCTGCTTAAAGGTGGGACACATAAGCAGAGAATGCAGAGGTCGTTTGGTCTGTTCTGTTTGTCACCAGCAGCATCCCAGTATCCTGCACATCAACGAGGACAGTACAGGAGTTTTCTCCAGACATCCACAGAATCATCTGAGTACCACCTCCACAATGACTCAGACCTGCGGTCATGTCGGGGTCTGTGATGAAGATAACTCAAACCTTTCTATCGTTGCAGTTCAAGTCAGGAGTCCAAAAACCAACACCACTGTGCAGACATATGCATTTTTGGACCCGGGCAGCACAGGAACATTCTGCACTGAAAGTTTGGCCCAGAAGCTGCAAATGAAAGGTAAAAGAACAAGTATTCAGCTGCAAACAATGGGACATAAAGGCATTGTGAGTACAAACATCATCTCTGGACTCCAAGTAGCAGCACTCGATAAAAATGATTTCATTGACCTTCCAGTTGTCATGACACAGAAACTAATGCCTGTTTCAAAGCAAAATGTTCCACAACAGGAGGACATCGACAAGTGGCCATACCTGCAAAGCATCAAGCTCCACAACATAGATGCTGATGTAGATCTGCTCATTGGCACAAACGCACCTAAAGTAATGGAGCCATGGGAGCTTCATCAACAGTCAGGATGAAGGCCCATATGCAGTTTGGACCCGAGTTGGATGGGAATGGTCCACTCCGGAGTGAAAGGAACAGAACAGGCTTCCATGCTTTCACTGCAAACAGGGTTTCTGTTAACGATGTTGACTGAACAGTACAATCATGACTTCAATGACAAAGCATCCCAACAGCAGATTGAAATGTCCAGAGATGTCAAGTTTATGAATGTCATGAACAATTCAGCACAATTAAAAAAATGGACATTATTGCATTGATTTGCCTTTTAAGGCTGAAAATTCAATCTTGCCTGTGAAGTGTTGTGTTGCAGAGCGTCTTCCAAGCCTGAAAGGAAAGTTTTCAAAGAACCGGATCACAGTCCTAAGGAACATCTGTGATGAAGCAGAGGGCAAGAACATCAACCTGGGAAAAGATACTACCAGCTTTTCTTCCCTGCTCCAAGATGGACAGGAGTTGCTGGCTGAGGAGAGTCGCCAGAACCTGCAGATCGCTACAAAGTTGGGTCAAGCAGAAAATGACTAGAACAGACTGCAGGAGCATTTGGAGGAAGAAGAGGATGCCCGTCTAAAGCTTCAGATGGAGAAGGTGACTGGTGAAGGAAAGATGGCGCTAGAAGACAACCAGCTGCATGGACTTGGTCCAGTGGCTGGTAATGGAGTCCTCAGAGTGGGTGGACATCTTGGAGGAGCAGCTGTGCCACCTGGGGCTGGACATCCAGTTGTCCTGTATAAAGCCATGCATGTAGCAATATTAATTCTGTGTTACATTTACCATCTGCTTGGTCCAACAGGAAGAAACCACATGTTGTCCAGACTGTGGCAAAGATGCTGGATAATCAGTGCAAACTCTGCTGCCAAAAAGATCCTGTCTGACTGTGTTACCTGCAGAAGAAATGGAGGAAAACTTCTGGAACGGCTGAGGAAAAAGTACCACCAGACAAACCTCCATTCACAGATGTTGGAGTTGATGGTGCTGTTCATTTGAAAGTGGTTCATGCTCTGGATGCCACTTGTTGTATTAATGCAATCAGAAGATTCATCTGCATGAGTGGCCCAGTTTCTTCAATCAGGTCAAAGGATGAAACACTGCAAACTGTTTTCTGTGAAGTCGAAGCCATTCTGAATGAAAGACTCATCGCTTTTGTCTCTGATGATCCAAATCACATCTTGATGAACAAACTTGTTCTGGCACAAGATGGATTTGAGTATTTGCCCTTAATGCAGGAAAGACAAAAGTGGATGAGATGGAAAAGAAACATCTCTCCTGGAGACATTGTCTTCATTGCATATGCTACAGCAGCCAGAGGATGTTGTCAGATGGGGAGAATCCTGGCAGTCAAAGCTGATGCAGGAGGCCTGGCTCGTTCTGCGCAACTTCAGACCAAAACCAGCATGTTGGAGAGGTTCATCATTGAGAAAATGAAGAACCAGAAGAATTATTTAATGTCTTTGCATTAATATAGAATATTATTGAGGTTGATAGAATAGCTCATTTAGTGATAGATGTAATTGTGATTTAATGCACAATTAGGGACTGAAGTGTAGGAGCTATTTCCCCATTTTCAGTTAAATATTAGAATTTAAATGGTTTAGTTTATTCTTATATTTTGTTTATTTTCTAGTTGATTTATCATTAGAATTTTTGTTTAATTTGTTATTTAGAATAAGTTCTTTGATTAGGAATTCACTTAATTAGTTAATTTCAGGTTGGGATGTGGGTATTTCACGGCATAAATAGATGGGTCTTGGGTAGCTTATTATGCACGTGGGTGGTCACAAGGTTTTTTACCTGTCTTCAGTCTCATTAGTCACTTCAGTCATCAGTCATTTCAGTCATCAGTCAGAGAATAGGTGCAGGAATCAGAGCAGAAGCAGAATCCTGTGAAGCCTGTAAACTTTTTGCCTGAACTGTGAAATAAAACAACCAAAGAACTGCATTTTGACTTTTTGGTCCTTTTGGGCTGCGTAAACCAAAATCCACTGTGCATAAGGTGACTATTTGAGTTGGATTCACCTTTTGTTTTGATCACTTTTGAGTTTTTTTTATTTTTGAATTTAAGTTTTGGGACAAATAGTGACTATATAGTACATATAGTGTGTGTGTGTGTGTGTGTGTGTGTGT